CTGCGCGTCGATGCTGAACAGTAAGCCCAGCGACCTCCCGTGCTTTGCCTTACGGAATGTGTCATGCGGTTCACGGATGCATTATGTGCTGCGTGACATTCACGTGTTGCGTATTACCAACTGATACCTACGTTGAACTTATTTCGCACCATACGTGGCCAACCGTGCTAATCGGCTGATGAGTATTGAAACAGTTGATGAGAATTGAAGTGGTAGTTGATGAGGATTGTCCTTTTTCCCGTGTTTTTAAACTATATCGCAGGGGGAAAAAAACTAACGGAAGTGGACAAGACTGTGGCATTCAAAGTATAGCTCCGCCACTTTCACCGACTGCTCTTGAAAACAGGCAGAGGTAAGGAAGTCTGAGAACTTGAGTGATTCTAGATTTGAAGCTTTTGAAGACTGGAAGCTTGTGTTGCCTCCGAAACGTCGTGATTTAATTGTTTTATTTTATTTTACCTACGTGACTTTACCGAATAAACCCAAAGAGTAACTTGCCGTGATGATGTGTGACTGAGCTAATGAACGGAAGCCTCTGCGCTGCACTTCAGCCAGATTGACGTGGCCCCGTTCATTGAAGCCGTCAATATCCATTACATTTTTCCATGAGCAATAAGCAACCGTCGAGCAATTCTGTGCCTTAGGATGAGTCGGCAACCAAAATAACAAGAGGAGTATTCAGTAAAAAACGCAATATTTTGAGAGCCGCAATGTATGAGACTAATGTCACGAAGCAGTCCTTAAGGAGCCGCATGCGGTTCTGGAGCCGCAGGTTGCCAACCCCCGCCTTAGAGAATATGTAGTTAGTTTTATTTTGTGGTACATGACCTGAGTTATGTACGTTATTAATGGATACGTTTATTTAATAATACGGACGGACTTGAAGATTGAGAAGAATATGGGGAAAGCTTCCAGCTGAACCATAGTTTAAAACCCTGTGGGAGCATCCAGTCGTGGTTTTAGTGATCACATGAATGTGTTCACCTCATCTTCCTGATGGAGATATGTGGGAGGTGGTACAGTGAGCACTCAAACCATTTGTGCTTTCGGATGAAACTAGGTCATATAATGTGCAATGCAGTGTGTCTCAGAGCAGGGCAACCATGCAGCCTACATGCTCACTGTTTTATGTGGCAGTTGCGCGTGCACGCACAGCCATTGTCCAAACTGCATGGGCAGCCGTGGAGAGTAAAATATATTGTGCAAGGAGAAGTGATGAATGCATTGCGACGCTAACAATGAGTAACACCAATGTGTTTGCCAGGAGACCGTGTAGATCCAACAGAGCTCGCCCTCGACGTCGAAGATCCAAGTCGCCCATCCTTCACCCACCGAAGTTCACCTACTTTAGTGCTGCAGCACCAAAAGCAAAAACATTTTATGTGAGAAATGGCCGGCTGGAACCATATCCTTATCCGCATGTCGGGGAGCATCGTGATGTCGGTCTTGCAAAGGAAAATGCTAAGCTCGAGGCTGCGACAGCAGACTACGTTGCAGTGAAACCTGACGTGACTGTCCCAAATGTTGTGGCAGATGAATCCTGTTTGACTGCTAGTAAGTTCATTGATGCCAATTCAAAATACGTGAGCACCATTGATGGAAAAGTGTTTGAAGCGCCGGCGCTACAAAGCCTTCCAGATTTCCACCGGCTTTCTGTAGACTCAACGTTGGGCGCTTTAACGAGTGCAGAAGGCGATGGGTCAGAGGTGTATTCCTTTACTGGGCTGCGAGATGCAATTTCCTCAACAGAAAGCAAGCTTGAAGACAGCAGTGCTTCCTCCCCAAAGAAGCGCTCACGCTCCAGCCACAGTTGTTCCACTTCACCAGTGCCCTTGCCTCCAAGCTCGTGCTCAGAACAAGCCCGAGTAGTGGACGACACGACGATCGAGGACCTCTCGGGATACCTGGAATTGTACCTTTACCTTCCGAAGAAGATGTCCAGTATGGCTGAGATGATGTACACGTAAGGCTGTCCTGGTGCTCCCTCTGCGTCTTCCATTGTCCAGTAAGCAGCTGATTATTGAGCCAGTTGCAGATAAAATGACAATTGAAAATGCTGTAGTAAAAAACTTAAATGTCAATTGTGTGCCTAGCAGCATACTTTACCTTGAGAGTAATATGAGGCTAGAATTAAATGGTCAATAAAACAAATCTGTCCATTATTATCGCATTTAACAAACTGATGGGATTTACTGTGACAAGTATTTGCTTGTCACCATGCAGATTACCGATTGGGTCTTTAATGTCAGTAGAGGGCATTGTTCAGTATTAATAAAGATAACGAATGGATTGCTGATGCACACTGTTCATAAGAAAAGATTTGCTTGAAAGATTGAGATGTCTCATAACGGGCAACCTCCAACATGCCGAAGTACATACGTGGATTTGTTGCCATGTACCTGTTTGTACTTCCTGTAATTAACACTTGGTCCTGGTGTGAAGACTTTACTGCTAAATTAAAAGTGCCATTTTGTAATGTTTTATTTCTTGACCTGTAGCATAGACCTCCGGCTGTGAGAATTCATGCCTTTGACTTCGTGGTGCTTTCATGATAGGGCTCATTGCATGCCAGTTAGGTTAGTGGTGAGCGCATTTATGATTAAGCTGTCAAATGGCTTTAAAGAAATTAGGCTTAATGCAAATTACAAATGTTACAAGCCCACCTTTTACCCAATTTATGTTTACATTTTTACTTAGATTTATATTAATATTTGCAATTGGCTTATTCGCAATGGATGGGTTTGTATTCTGCTCAAAATGTGGATTTAAATGGAACAGCTGTGGTGAATAATATCTTTGAAACAACTCTTTCGGTATTGTTTACAGTCGGCGGACATGTCAAGCATGATAATTATGGTATTTATTCAGCAGCCTGCTACCCATGTTTCATTATATCCTCAAGAGAGATTTTGCATTCATAGGTGTTGAGTGTTGGCAAGATTTAGCTGATATGTACATTATCTGTACATTGGTATACACATTACAGGAGCCCACAGATTTGATTGTAACTTATTGCTACTGAAATAAAATGATACTTTTGCATATACTGTGTCCGTTTGAAACTTGAAAAACACCTGAAAAAGAGTAATGTTTTTGTGTTGATGTGACATCACAATGGGTTTTAAGCCCTAATTTCAATGCAAGTTGTAAAAAGGTTTTGATACAGGAGCAGTGATATGGCCCAAAAGGAGTACGTTCGCTGCTTTTTGCAGAGGCACGCGATTTGAGTCCGACAGGCCGCCCTGGTTATTATTGTGTGGCACCGTAAATACAGCCCTTTTGTTTCAGTGGAGTTTAAAGATTCCCTTTGTGTGCCGGCATTGTCCAAATCTGTCAAATTCTAAATACTTCCCCAATATTACTTAACAGGTATAACAACCACATGGCACATCGTCGCCCCATACTGGCAGACTAATGCTCGCTTCCAGACCAGGTCCAAAGTGACCTTGTGCTGCACAGGGACAGCTTCCACTGGGAGCGCCCTTTCTACCGTATCGAGATATGTTAAAGCACTTTAAGACACTTTTGCGTGTCAGAGGGCGCAATATAAAAACTATTTACCGATGTCAAAATGAGCAGGCCGCACATCCTTTGTACGCAACCATCCCTTCCGTCCAGCCAGCCAGCGAGCACATTTTTTGTTCTAATATAGTACGTTTAAAAAGATGAGACGTCAAATTCAGAAGCCACCTTTAAAACAAAAAAAAACTATGGCAATGCAAGTGTTAACCCAAGGTTTAGCCACATGGAATTACATACTTGTCAACCCATACGGTTTACCCGTATTCTTGTACAAGGAAATTGAGTACATGTTTTGTCTTTATCCCATGTGATGGTACTTTGTAGGATGAACGTTGAGATTTATGAGGGCCCGGGGTGACCAATCAGGTCTGAATTGGTCTGTAATAAGGTAGGTACCGATAATGGGTTGACAGGTATGGGAATACCGAGCTTGGATGTAAGCACACACTATTTAGGTCACGCTACTGCAATGATGACTCCCATGCAACTACCAGCCATGCACGGTAATCGGTGGGCGATAAGTTCCTATATCCATGGCTTATAAGCTACTACGGCTTCAGAACAGTGACGTGTGGCGAGGTCAATGGCTGGGTAAGCACTGAATAGTGTCGAGCCAGATTCACACACAGAGGGGGCGTGGCCTCACTTGGGGGGCGTGGCCTCACTGGGGGGCGTGTCCTCGCTGAGAGGGGCGTGTTAGACACGTGCCCTTCAGTGAGGGAGATGAGTATGACAGGTGAGGCTCTGCCTCCCCCTGCCTCCCCTGACCGCACGTCCCTGCTTCAGAGTGATGTAGTGTTGTCGGGACTTCTCGCCCACACCGCTGTGCTGAAACACGTGAGGGGAGGGGCTTGGGGCTCCGCACGACCACAAGGTTGACAGCGACGGAGCCCAGGGGCCACAGTGAACGCTGCAGAATAATTATTATTATTCGTAACCATTTTTTAAATTGTATTTTAAGTGCAGTTTCATTTCAGTTTCATTTATTAGGATTTACCCTGTGAGCCATTCGGCTCTTGATTTGGGTTCAACCCCAACAAACAATAAAATTACAAGATACACCTAAAATTCATTGTACACAAATCTAAACATCATCACGAACGTAAACAATGAAATCCTACAGAAAAAGGACCACCCGTCCATGCTGCGTACAAAAAGAGCAAATAATTCCATTTCGATGTTTGATCCCAATAACAATCATAATACATGTTAAGTATAAATCTATACTAAATAAAAAAAATGACCAAACCAATTCCCCTTTTCCCAACAAATGTGATTAAAAGTTTTTTTTACAACAGCGACACACACAAACGAGTTCAGGTTTTCCCAATAAGGTGCCTGTTCGTGACTAAAGTTCGGACTTACGAACAGGCACATTATTGGGGGAAACCCTGAACTCGTTCGTAAGTCGAGGAGCCCCATGCGGTTGACATCCGCGACGAGTTCGCAAGTCGAGTCGCCGACTGGGAGGAGTCGTGGCCGCTGCCGCCGCTGCCGCCGCTGCCGCTGCAGCAAATTGCCGCGGTCCCTGCGCCGGCTGAGCCAGGGTCCCGGAAGCAGCAGACGACGACACCGTGCCGCTCATCATCCACCACCTCCTCCACCTCCTGCTACACCACCTCCACCTCGTTATCGTCTTCTCTTCCACCTCGTCGCCCTCGCCTCCTGCTCGTCCTCGCTCGGCCCACAGGTGCGAGAGCTTCTCTTGTCCCCAAGGTCCGGGCCTGCGCCGCGAGCGGGAGACTTTACCGTGGTGTGTTTATATATTTATATAAATTTATTATTATTATTACTACTACACGGGACGCTGTGATATAGGATTACATAACACTTGTACACGAACGCACGGGGAATTGATAATAATACGCACGGTGCATATTGCAGCATGGTGTGAGGTGACACCTTCCCAAGACAAAGATCCCCCGTGTAGCCTTACACAGGCTGTAGGGGCAAGTGCTGTTAGCGAGCACCTCACACACAGACACAGACAAAGATCCCCCGTGTAGCCTTACACAGGCTGTAGGGGCAAGTGCTGTTACCGAGCACCTCACACACAGGCACAGACAAAGATCCCCCGTGTAGCCTCTAACAGGCTGTAGGGGCAAGTGCTGTTAGCGAGCACCTCACACACAGACAAAGATCCCCCGTGTAGCCTTACACAGGCTGTAGGGGCAAGTGCTGTTAGTGAGCACTTCACACAGACAGACAAAGATCCCCCGTGTAGCTTCTAACAGGCTGCAGGGGCAAGTGCTGTTAGCGAGCACCTCACACACACAGACAAAGATCCCCCGTGTAGCCTTACACAGGCTGTAGGGGCAAGTGCTGGTAGCGAGCATCTCACACACAGACACAGACAAAGATCCCCCCTGTAGCCTTACACAGGATGTAGGGGCAAGTGCTGTTAGCGAGCACCTCACACACAGACACAGACAAAGATCCCCCGTGTAGCCTCTAACAGGCTGTAGGGGCAAGTGCTGTTAGCGAGCACCACACACACAGACACAGACAAAGATCCCCCGTGTAGCCTCTAACAGGCTGTAGGGGCAAGTGCTGTTAGCTAGCACCTCACACACAGACAAAAATCCCCCATGTAGCCTTACACAGGCTGTAGGGGCAAGTGCTGTTAGCGAGCATCTCACACACAGACACAGACAAAGATCCCCCGTGTAGCCTTACACAGGCTGTAGGGGCAAGTGCTGTTAGCGAGCACCTCACACACAGACACAGACAAAGATCCCCCGTGTAGCCTCTAACAGGCTGTAGGGGCAAGTGCTGTTAGCTAGCACCTCACACACAGACAGACAAAGATCCCCCGTGTAGCCTTACACAGGCTGTAGGGGCAAGTGCTGTTAGCTAGCACTACACACACAGACACAGACAAAGATCCCCTGTGTAGCCTTACACAGGCTGTAGGGGCAAGTGCTGTTAGCAAGCATCTCACACACAGACACAGACAAAGATCCCCCGTGTAGCCTTACACAGGCTGTAGGGGTAAGTGCTGTTAGCAAGCATCTCACACACAGACAGACAAAGATCCCCCGTGTAGCCTTACACAGGCTGTAGGGGCAAGTGCTGTTAGCGAGCACCACCTAAGGAAGGGCCGGCACGGCACGCGAGAGGGTGGGTGGCCAGCAACCACGCCCGGCCGTCTTTGTCTCTCCCTAGTGGCGATGTTTGTACGCACCGCACCAGGTACTCGTTTGAGGATGCCCAGAACCCGCTTCGGATAATCGTCACTGGTGTCGGTGGTCGTGAGCGGGAATCGAACTCGGTTCGCTGGGTTTGGAGATTAGCGCTAACCGCTGCACCACCGCTCCCCACATCTCCCGTGTGTGCGTACGCACATACACATATATACCGTTCCCAGATCCTGTGTAATAACAATAACAACACAACACGTATCCTGGCAATACAGTACAGGGTTACACAGCGCGCACACACACAGCACTCGTAGAGCAATAAGAGATGTACAACAGGAAATACTACACTGGTAGAGTCCGTGAGATACACACAAACACGGTCAAGTTACACACACGCGGTCAATATACACACAAACACGGTCAAGATACGCACAAACACGGTCAAGATACACGCTCTGCACGTGCTTACAATTGTCATGGGTTCAACTGAGTCGCAGACGTCAACTTGGAGGCAACACATTCATTCAGTTCCAAAACACGGGGTGACTTCTCCTTAACAGAATAACAACCTAAGGTTAGCTACACTAGTTACAACACTAGTTACCACGTAACTACACTAGTTAGTCCAGTGGTGACCACCAGGCTAACTACACTAGTTACAACACTAGTTACCACGTAGCTACACTAGTTACCACGTAGCTAGTGTAGTTAGCCTGGTGGTGACCACCAGGCTAACTACACTCGTTACAACACTAGTTACCACGTAACTACACTAGTTAGTCCAGTGGTGACCACCAGGCTAACTACACTAGTTACAACACTAGTTACCACGTAACTACACTAGTTAGTCCAGTGGTGACCACCAGGCTAACTACACTAGTTACAACACTAGTTACCACGTAACTACACTAGTTAGTCCAGTGGTGACCACCAGGCTAACTACACTAGTTACAACACTAGTTACCACGTAGCTACACTAGTTACCACGTAACTACACTAGTTACCACGTAACTGCTACTACGGACCAGGACCAACGACTTCGGCCCGGGTCCTGGTGTTGGAGACTCGTTGAACGGAGAACGCAGACGAAGGGTTTCTTCCAGGATGGACAACAACTCCGGTCCCTCTCGGGCCCCGGCTTATATTCTCTGTGGCGTGGCCGGCTCCGCCCTTGGCCACGCCCACCTTCCAGAATCCTCGGGAAGGATCTGGGTCCCAATTACGTGACCACCCCTAGCCCCCACTTGGGGCCCCTTTGTCAACTTAACTGGTCACGTGTCCTCCCGGGTCAACCAGAGTGCCATGGCCTCGCATAACCTCATCCTTCGGTCGGCACCCACACACCCTGTCCTGTAGGGTCGGCACTGCACTTAAGGCGTGGTGCCATCCAGCGCTATTATTCAGCGCACACCGGGCCCCTCTGGGGCGGTACCACACCCACACCATTGTGGTATCCACCGATGTCGCGACACTGCACGCCGTGCCCCTCTAGGACCGGTACTGCACCCACAGCCTGTTGACATTCAGCGATGTCACTACATCACCCCTCCCCTTCATAAACTTCAGCCATCCCGGCTGTCACCTCCCCCTCAACAAAACAACAAAAGCCCCAAGTGTGCCTCAAGAAATAAATACCGCATCCCATATGTACAATATCTACAATATATACAGTGACGAACGGGGAAAGGGAACAGAAGTACAGAACCAACAATAGGCAAAACACAATTGAAGAGAGAGAAGGGAAGAGAGAGAAGAGAGGACGAGAAGGAAAACAAACACGCGGTAATACAAGAAACCTCGGGACCCCCTCCGGCACCAGCATCACCCACCCTCATCATGTAACAACACCCGCAAGCACAATAAAGGCCAGGTTCAGCCAATGACCAATACGAACTGACGAGTGCGACAATCAACTGACGGCGTGGGAATGTGTTGTGTATGGGGGTCACGAAAACCGAACAGTCTTGGATCAAGTCCTTGTGGCCAGGCCCCCAGGCGAGGTGGGCGTAAGCTTCCTGGGGGTCCCGGGGGGAATTTGAAAATGTCCCGACGAGCCCGGCTCCTCACGAAGAGCAGTCGGCCGGGCAGACGGTCCCTCCACTCCCAAAGCTTCCGGAGACGACGCAGGCGGCGGCTTGGGGGAAGTTAAACGCACGGAACCTTGGGATATAGAGGAGTGGTGGACGGTCGGGCGGATGACGACGGTGGTCCGGGGAGGCGTCGTCGTGGCACGCGGCAACCCGACGAGATGTGTCCCAGAAGGCCGCAGTTGTAGCACACAACAAGCCCACTCCCAGGACGAGGAGAGGTCTGCCGCCGTCGAAGTTGTTCATCCCGTCGCACCATGCCGTCCCCCCGCCAGCCTCCGCTTTGGGCCGAAGCGCAGGCTTGGACGTGCTCCACGTCTTCGGGTGTATCACGCGTCTCACGAGGCGCGGTACACGCCGCCAACCCCTTATGTCGTTGCAAAAGCAGGTGCGCCTGGATGCACCTTGCAACCTTGAGAGAAGACAAATTGTCTTCGTCGACGGCCAGCAGGACGATGTTGAGGTCCTTCGCCAGCGTCAGCAATCGTTCGAGGACCAGCGAGTCGACTCCGTTGTGGTCCATCTTCGGGAAGGCATCCTTCGCCAGCACCAACAGTGCGCTGCGGAAGGCGAGGGGCGTCTAGGCCTCCCCCCTCCTCCGCGCAGCGAACTTATGGCGAACATTTGACGGCGGTTCGTAGATTGCCGCCATTTGGGCGGATGCTTGCTGAAGCGTGGCCCTCTCCGACGGCGGGATGGTGCAAAAAGCCGCCAAGGCGTCGTCGTCAAGCGCGGCGGGCAGCGCTCCCAGCGCCTCTGCCTCCGTCCATCCCGCCAAGTCGCAGTTCGTCTGGAACCGGCGCTTGGAAGGCCACCCAGTCGCCTCCCGCAGCTGAAAATTCTTTAACAAAAGGTAGACGTCACCTGAGGGATGGAATCTCGACAAGCGAACTCGGCGCACTCTCAGACTTAGCGGGCACTCCGCCCCGCTCCGCAAACAAAATGGCGGCCGCGTGCGCGGGCTGCGCCACGGGGCTTTCCAGCTTGCGGGAAACAGCGACGGGATGCTCGACCCCGCGCAGCTCCGGTGCTGTCCCCTCAATCGCTGGCTCTTCACAGTCGAGCTCAGCGACCATCGCGGCCACTGCCTCGAGAAGTTTTGCGAGGTGGGTGCGGAACGTGTGGCGCTCTTTCCCTGAAGGTGGTGAGCTGTTACTGAGGTGGTCGTCACGATGCTCCACCGGCGGCACCTCACTCCCTTTCTCTGGGGTCGCCATCCCCCCCTTTCTCCGGGGTCGCTGTCCCCGGGGCTGTCTGAGGAATAACGCCTTCGTCATCCTCGTCGTCCGACGACATCCTGGTATGTAGTCTGCGTTGCGTAAGCATAACCTAACTCGGCCTATCTTACTGACAAAATAACGTTTGGCCACTTTTGACACCAGTTGTAATGGGTTCAACTGAGTCGCAGACGTCAACTTGGAGGCAACACATTCAGTTCCAACACACGGGGTAACTTCCCCTTAACAGAAAAACAACCTAAGGTGGTGACCACCAGGCTAACTACACTAGTTACAACACTAGTTACCACGTAACTACACTAGTTACAACACTAGTTACCACGTAGCTAGTGTAGTTAGCCTGGTGGTGACCACCAGGTTAACTACACTTGTTACAACACTAGTTACCACGTAGCTAGCGTAGTTAGCCTGGTGGTGACCACCAGGCTAACTACACTAGTTACAACACTAGTTACAACACTAGTTACCACGTAACTGCTACTACGGACCGGGACCAACGACTTCGGCCCGGGTCCTAGTGTTGGAATGGAGAACGCGGACGAAGAATTTCTTCCAGGATGAACAACAACTCCGGTCCCTCCTGGGACCCGGCTTATATTCTCTGTGGCGTGGCCGGCTCCGCCCTTGGCCACGCCCACCTTCCAGAATCCTCGGGAAGGATCTGGGTCCCAATCACGTGACCACCCCTAGCCCCCTCTTGGGGCCCCTTTGTCAACTTAACTGGTCACGTGCCCTTCCGGGTCAACCAGAGTGCCATGGCCTCGCATAACCTCACCCTGTCCTGTAGGGTCGGCACTGCACTCAAGGCGTGGTGCTATTTCGCACTATTATTCACCGCACGCCGTGCCCCTCGAGGGCCGGTACTGCACCCACAGCCTGTTGACATCCAGCGATGACGTGGGTAAGTGATGTGCAGTAGTTGCAGAATTATCGTAGTTCATATAATTATAATTTAAAGACGGTATCTTAACTTACAGCCGTTATAAATCATAACATTGCTTTGATAAGAAGGCAATGAAAGGCGTATGTATTGAGTGAACCGCGGTTACTTTTCTTTTAAAAAGTACTCTTCATTTGTACAGGAAATACCACGGAGAACATAGTAGCCATAAACATGTTAAATTACGACACTTTTATAGGAAACGATATCGCTGTAGACGGCAAACATCACGAGCATTCGGGATTGTAAAGTGGAAATCCTCAAGAAAGTAAAACACCACTGGGTGTAGTACTAACAACATAATGAGCGTCATCACTTTTATAAGAGGATAAATGAGCCAGGCGAGACATTTAACCGACACGGGACTTGCAGCCAGCTCGTTTAATTGTTTAACACAGTCGCGCCTGCAAATGTACATCTCGCGATACGCTTTACAAAGATTGTGATGCCACGTTTAACAAGAGAAATAACCCGTATAACAACCACAAACAACAAGCACAAACAACAACCACAAACAACAACCACAAACAGCGTAACCTTTGTAGTCGATTGATCACTAAGCTTACCTTGCTCAACGTCATCCAGGAGTGTTTGTTTAAACCAAATGGCAAACTCTTGGACCACAGACCACATGAGTTGTTATCAGCACTGCTGTGTGTGTGTGTGAACCTTGACTTAAGACACTGCTGGGCTGTTTGATGGTGTCATAGAAAATAATCCTTAAACGAACACAGCGGGTCTCCCAAGTCACACATTCAAAGAGAAACCAAGTCAAGCTGTGGCAAAGTAAATAGGCCTGACTCTGCTGATGTAAGATTTGGTCCCGATTCTGCTTGTACTAAACCAATGCTGCTGATTCTATGCACTGTGTCTTTTGGGATGTGTTCAATATCTTTGGATGCTTTTTTTTCACGTGGAGGGACAGACATGGGAAAGGAGGCATCCTGTTTACCTATTTGTTTTGTTATTCATCACACACCGGTTGATGCAATACATCCACATTGTATTACAACAAGGTAACAGCAGTTGCATAATCGAGACATCAGCTGCTTGCCTGCGAGTTGACCCGGAGTCCCGAGTGTGAGTGTGAGGAAAGCGGTGTTGAGTCATGTTGTGTCAGCCTCAGGCACATGGTCTCAGAACCGGACCCCGACTTCATTACACACAGCCCGTGGCAGTTTTTGGCCCAGCCATCGAACAAAGACGGTCACACTTTCAGATGTGCTTCTGCGGCCGTCTGCAACGATCTTCCTTCCGATATTAGGGAGCCACGGGAGCTATGCACTTTTAAATAATCTAAATTGAAAATGTTTTAGAACTGCTTTTTTTGTTGCGTGTAGTTTGTTGTCCGTCCCCCGCACCTCCGATTTAGCATGGTTGGCTACGTACGGTGCGAAAGAAGTAGAACATACAGCGCACGTCAAGCCCGCCACTTAGAAACTGCCTGCAAGCAATATTCATCGGCAGCTGCTAACGCGGGCACCTTAGCGGCACTAATCGGTTCCTAGAGGGGAAAATATTAGCCAAAAAGTGACCAAAATGTATTTGGCACGTAGATATAAATACACAATTGGTGTGAATATGAAATCCCCTTTCCTCTTTAAAGCCGTGCTGCATTTTTGGACAGAGACATTGACGCATGCACCATCTTGTGGGACCTGCATGGGAAGACTCCTGCTTTTGTGACATTTGTCCATTTGCGACCCAGCCGTTTACGACAGCAGCACATACTTGGGTGTTACTGTGAAATTTCATAACATAGGGTTACTATATATATACTGTACAGGTTGACACTAAGGGCCCCACCCTGTGTGTGTGTAATTATGGGCCAGAATTGGTGTCACAAGCAGGTTGGTGAGTCTGACATCAAGATTGATGGACGGATTAATCCATGAGCCCACTGTGAGGGATAGAGCACTTGTGATGATCAGGCAGCATTGCCACATGATTGTAGAAGAGGCGTATTGTATCTGAATTATTATTGACTTCACTCTCAGTATAGCTGCACTCACAAGTCAACCTTGGTTAACTGATATTAGTTTAGCAAACATGGTGCATTTCAGTCACAATGAGGATGATACTGAATTACTATGTTTTGTGTGTTTGTTGAAATTATTTTGCACCGTACGTCGCCAAACGTGCAATTTTTTCCGAGTGCAAACCCAAAAGGTCTAGTGGCCAACAACAAACAGCACCGTAAAAGTTGTCTGAGTAAGGTTATTTTACTAGTTTGGGAAAATAGACGATGGGAGGAGCCATGCATTGTGAGGGAAGTATCAAAAAGAGGCGTTTTGACTGCTATAATTTCCACGTGATGATAAGCCACTTTGTTGAGCAATCATTTGTGGCCAGGTTGCTTCTGAATAAGGAATATTTAAAAAAAAAACTTTTTTTTAAACCACGCTTTAATTAAATGTACCATACTAGTAATGGAAGAACTCCATGAAGTGGCCCTGAAGCTTGCCATAACGTAAGGGACCCTGGTGCATTACGGCCATCGTGAGTTGACCATGGACAATTAGACCCAAGCCGAAACATAACATATAAAAAATAATGTTGTAAAATGTTTTTAATGATAGAATATAGTATTGTCATCAGTATGACATAACTATACCAAGTTTGCAGTCGATACCACAATGGGAAGTGGGTTAAAATTGAGTTACAAGATTTGAGGCTACAACAACAACAACAGAGTGATTCTAGGTTTGAAGTTTTCGTGACCGCAAGGATTTATACTCTTTGGTTTTTTCGGTAAAGTCACATAGGTAAAAAAATAAAATAAATAAAATCGCGACGTTTCGGGCGCAACACAAGCATCCTTCTTCAGGTGGGAACAACTTAGCTTTCGCTTCAGTGGTGTGCTTAAGTGGTGTGCTTTCGCTACAGTGGTGTGCTTTCACTTCAGTGGTGTGCTTAAGTGGTGTGCTTTCTCTTAAGTGGTGTGCTTTCACTTTAGTGGTGTGCTTAAGCGGTGTGCTTTCGCTTCAGTGGTGTGCTTTCTCTTAAGTGGTGTGCTTTCGCTTAAGTGGTGTAAGTGGTGTGCTTTCACTTAAGCAGTGTGCTTTCGCTTAAGTGATGTGCTTTCTCTTAAGTGGTGTGCTTTTGCTTAAGTGGTGTGCTTTCGCTTTAGTGGTGTGCTTTCGCTTTAGTAGTGTGCTTTCGCTTTAGTGGTGTGCTTTCGCTTTAGTGGTGTGCTTTCACTTCAGTGGTGTGCTTTCACTTAAGTGCTGTGCTTTTGCTTAAGTGGTGTGCTTTCACTTAAGCAGTGTGCTTTCGCTTTAGCGGTGTGCTTTCACTTAAGTGGTGTAAGTGGTGTGCTTTCGCTTAAGCGGTGTGCTTTCGCTTCAGTGGTGTAAGTGGTGTGCTTTCACTTAAGTGGTGTGCTTTCGCTTAAGCGGTGTGCTTTCGCTACGTTGTCCCCACCTGAAGAAGGACGCTTGTGTTGCGCCCGAAACGTCGTGATTTAATTTATTTAAAAAAATTTAACTACGTGACTTTACCGAAAAAACCAAAGAGTAAAAACAGAGCGAGTTAAATAAAAGCGTGTAAAAAAGAGCTTCATAGCTCCAGTGTGTCTTACCTGGTAAAATGAAAAAGAGTAAAAATGCATTTAAGTTTGTGAGTAAATGGCTTTGTGAGTGGGTGAGCGAGTGTGTTGTGACCTGCAGCGTGGTGTTGGTTGACATTGGTGCGGTGCACGAGACGAAACATCCAGTGCCTGCGTAAACCGAGCGGCTCAACTGAACGTGGAGCTGTTGTGCGCGCTGCGCAGGGATGGATGGAAGCAGCTCCCCGGAGGAGCGCGTCCGAGTGCTGAGCCAGAAGGGCTCCCAGGTGGAGGTGCGGGACAGCATCCCCCCCCAACGCTACTTCCGATCGGGGAAGGAGATGCTGCGCATGGCCACGGTCTACCACGAAGAAGGCAACCTCGAGGAGGCCTTCATGCTCTACACCAAGTACATCACGTGAGTACAGTGCGTTCCTCCAGCCAGGTAACAACGGGAGCATCCTGCCAGCCCGCTCTCACTTGTCCGTTTAGTTAATGGTTTTGAGCCAGTCCACCTTCAGTGGTTGCCCTGTATGCACTGGGTGTGCTAGAGATGACGGCTCCGAACACATCAAGTGTAACTTTTCCGATCGTCCTCGCAGCGGCTTTTGGCTGACCACCGCATCGTGCGCTTTCAGATGCGCTGCTGCGCCCGTCTGGAATGCTCTTCTGATATTAGGAAGCCAATGGAGCCATGCACCTGCCGTGACGTTGCGGATGTCACTGTGTAATGCCGGCCATAGAGAGGCACGACGTGCGGTGTAGCGACATCGCGGGCACCACTCACACGTGGGTGCAGTACCGGCCCTGGAGGGGCTCGGTGAGCCCTGACTGGCAGCGCTGGATGGCACCACGCTCTGCGTGCAGTGCCGACCCCTACAGGATAAGGTGCGGGAGTGCCAGCCACGGGAATGGGGTTACTATAGGCCGTGGCACTCTGGTTCACCCCAGAGGACACGTGACCGGTAAAGTCTACACAGGGCCTCCAAGCGGGGGCTAGGGGTGGTCACGTGTCAGGGCCGAGATCCTGCTAGAGGGTTCTCGAAGGTGGTCGTGGCTAAGGGTGGAGACAGCCACGCCACAGAGGATAGAAACCCCGAGAGGGACCGGCTGCTGTTGTTCATCCTGAAGAATGAACGTTCTACGTCCTACAGAGTCTCCAACAAGTGGACCTGGACCCGAGCTGTGGGCCGGTCCATTGTAGCTAGTTACCGTGTAATTAGTGCAGTTAGCCTGGTGGTTCACCACCATGGGTTGTTATAGTGTTAAGGGGTAGTTACCCCATGTGTTGGTATTAATGTGTTGCCTCCAACGAGTAAATCTGCGACTCAGTTGAATCCACTACACACCTTTAAATCTATATTGAAAACTCGTTTCTTTCGAACTGCTTTTTGTGTTTAGTGTTTTGTCCTTCCCTTGCACCTCCGATTAGCACAGTTGGCTACGTATGGTGCGAAATAAGTTCTACATACATACATCATCACTAACCAATCTTACTCTCGTGCCACTGCATGTCATACTTATTTCATCGTTCCATCTCTCGCTGGGGTACCCCGCGCCCCTATGTGCTTTTGGAAAAAAATAATTTGCTAATCGTTTCAAGTTTCTTTTAATTAATCAGCTGGGTCGCAAAAATGAGACGGGCGAAACAAATAAAATCCGAACTAAACAAAACCACAATTGTATCCCGTGAAGAATTTTAAATGCTGCACTCGTTATTCCCCGCAGGAGTGTACGTTCTTAAAAATTGACCGGACACATGAAACATTGACACAAAAACATTTGAATAAAAGCTGAACATTACGCAAATAGGTAAAATATCTGCCTGCTGTGAATTCCATTGAGAAATATAAAAAAAACATATATGTGTGTGTTGGAGACTCGGGGGGGGGGGGGGGGGGGTGATGATGATTGACTGGCAAGGAACACGGACCAGGGAATAATGGAGGAGAGCGAGAGAGGAGAGTTCTGAGTGCAGAGTGATGAAGCGTGGTGTGTTACCTGCTGTGTGTCCGGGGATGTTACCAGTGGGTCGTCAATAAAGACACCTTTGCTCAACACGGCGTGAGCTGAATCCTTCCATGTGGATCACAGAACTAATGTCGTGGGGGGGGGGGGTACCGTGATGACTGTTAAGAAAAGTCAGTGGCATGGACAGGGGGCATTGCAAGAAGGGTCGCGATAGTCCATTGCCCAGAGTGGTGACAGAGTGGCAGCGAGAGGGAGGAACACACTCCCCAGAGGACGACCAACTACGGAGATGGAGCGATGTGATTTGCTCATCTGCGGAAGCGAGATGGATTGTGGCATCACGGGACAGTGGGGAATGGCGATGTGGGGGAGGCGTTCATCCAGCAGTGGATAGAACACGGCTGGTGATGATGAAACTGCCCATGGTGTTGGAGCAACCAAAGCCAAGTTGAAATTATTCAAGCGCAGCGATGGCTTATGGTGACACAATTATTAGCACCTGCATGTAAACAGTTTAACTTACAAGACAATTTTTTTGTTAAAAACATACTTTGAAGCTTAAAGCGTCATTTTAATTGCCGATATTGCACGGTGTTAAAGATTTTATGGACGCTTGTACTGCCATACCAATATATATAATGAAAGATGTTTGTTTCCGTCGTAATGCTTGTTGTGTCGCCAGGTTGTTTGTTGAAAAGCTACCCAAGCACCAGGACTACAAAATCGTTTCGCTGCCCTTGAAGGCGGACACAACGAAGGTGCTGACCGTGGCGTCGCGCATGCGCGATGGTGGCGGACGTGTCTCATGCGCAATGGTCCACTTGTATCTGCACCAATATTAAACCGTTTCAGTTTTATTTTTAGGCCAGTTAATTTCTTCGCACCTCCACGTGCCGTGCATTAACGCGACCGTAAAATAGTAACGCGAGCCATTGCTCGGGATTAATTGCCTAAAAATAAACAGACGGTGACGTTAATGCCATCTGCCGGCAGCGTCGTTGGGGTGTTGGAGTGAGCGGCAGCATCGCGTGGCAGTATTGCTTCGGTAGAGTGAGTCGTAGAACGCTTTGTATGTATGTAGAACTTCTTTCGCCACCGTGCGTAGCCACTCGCGCTAAATCGTATAGTGGAGCGCGTGAAGAGCGTGCGCACGGAGCGACTGCGTGTGGCACATCCGACATCTCTCCAGCAAGCACAGGAGCGCTATCCTATACACGTCTCCTGAGCGGCTCTTATCAGGGCACTGACTTTGCCATGACGGTGACCTCCACACAGTGGACAGGAGGAGGAGTTCTCGTGTATGCAATTACATCTACCACAATCGCCCAGCTTTTTTCCTTTTGCTCTGTGCATCTGGCCTATATGGGACGATTATATTTATCGGATGCGTTCTCCTGCTGTTGCGACTCTTTCGGCAGGCATGGCTTGTGAGACTACATCGTCGTCTGTAGCACAAAAGGTAGCTTTGTGACCGCCGTCTCTGTTGCAGAAACTCAAGACGGTTTTTCCGCTCGCAGAGAATGTGAAGAAGAAGCTCAAAGCCACTTACGCTAAAGAACACAACATGTACTTGGAGAAGCAGGTGACCTCCTGTTCGTTGTTTTGTCATAAACAACGGCGCTTTCAACGCGCACAGCCCGGTGGCCTCGCTCCTTGTAATGCGAGTGCTGTCGATAAATTTCTCGCGTTACATCTTAAACCTCGCCTGCTTAATGTCAGGCCACGATGTTGTGTCGTGTGTTGAATAGAGATGGCTTGGCCACAGTGTGGCTGGAGGCACCGAATAGGGAATTGTCGTGGGTAACTGGCGATTCATACGTTCAGAGAAGAGACGCTCAGATTTCGTTTTGAAACGGAAGGTGGTAGGGGGACGAGATCTGGTTGCAGAATGTATCAGGTAGAGAGAAACCCACATACACGTGCGTGATGATGATGATGATGATAATAGCTTCACTGCTGCAGTGCTTACCATGTGCTGTTTGAAGTGCCGATTAGTGGATTTGCCTATCAGAGCTTTGTGCTTCATTTAATGAAACGTTTTAAGAAGGGTAAATCTGGTGGCTTATAGTAATTGCTGCATTGGGATGTTTGGTCAACACTGATGGCAGTGTTACTTTTAGTATGGGGAAGAACCGGGAAGAAATCCGTGCAGAACAGTGGGGAGAACATACAAACTTGACACACACAGGTTCCCAAGTCGAGAGTCAAAACTAAAGCATTTATTTATTTATTTTACCAGGTAAGGCTCACTGAGCTGTATAGCTCTTTTTCGGAAGCAACCAACCCACGAATGATAGCTCAGCGAAGTGGCTCACCACGTGGACATTTAGAGCAGCCATATACCCTAAACGTAAGTTCGTAAACGGAGGGAAAATTCGGAGGACCCGGAGAACAATCCACGCGACCACGGGCAGAACATGCAAACTCCAAACATGCAGGTGTCAGGATCGAACCCACGACCTCCTGCACACCCCAGGCGAGGTCGTGAACGTCTCGCCACCGTGCTCGTCGTGTGGACGGTGCGCAGGGCGAGCTGGCGGCGGAGCGAGCGCGCGAGCAGGAGCGAGCGCGCGAGGTGGAGGAGGAGCGGCGTCGCCTCGCGCAGATGCAGCGGCAGCAGCAGGAGCAGCAGGCCTTCCACGCCTTCGAGGAGACGCTGCGGCAGCGCGAGCGCGAGAAGGAGCGCCTCGCCGTGCTGCACCGGTTCGGCTCCGAGGACCACGACGACGCCGTCCCCGGTGCCGCCGCCGCCGCCGCCGCCGGGCCGGGGGTGCTGATTCAGGGCCTGAAGCCCCCCCCCACGGACGGGCGGCCCCCACCCGCCGCCCCCGGCGGGCCCCCCGCCGTGGACAGGTCCTGCAAGCCGGCGTCGCTCGTGTCACCAGCGCGTGAGTGCCGCGCGCTTGGGGGGGGGGGGGGGGGCTTTACGCGGATGGGGTCGGGTTGCTTCTGCCGGGGATGCCCTGTGGCCATCGTGCAAGCTCGCCTAGCTCTGGCGCTCACCGTCTTTCCGAACAGAAATGTTAGTTTTCATGATTTGCGTTTTGTTCATTTAACAGCAAGGTCTGTCGCGGCCAATATTATTAACAATAGATGTTTTTTGGTCAGATTGCACACTCTTTTCCACCTGACACAGCCAATTAATAAATTGTCATGTTTGTTCCCGTGACAATTTTATTCATTCACCGTGTCGGGTGGAGGAGGGTTTACGACGCACGTTGTTTACGCAGTCTGATAAAAAAAAAAATATCTATTTTGAATATATTTACGTTGAAGTTCTTTCGTACGTAGCCAACTGTCCTAATCGGAGGTGCGGGACTCACATTTGGTTCTTTGACAATATTTACTTCCGTGCAAACTTTAACCAAATGATGTTATTTAATGTGGGAAAAAAAGCATCCTCTTTCACCCCCACTTATATCTCAATCATCCTCTTCACCGTGGGGTCATCAGACAGAGGGATGGAGTGACAGCGCTCGTAATGAGCAGCGCACAGCACTACGCCGAGGAGTTTCCCCTTCGCCGATCTCAGGCTGCTGGGCATTCCCTTGTAGCCTCGGCGTGATGTGAATGCCAACGCCCATGCTGCGGTGATGCCAGTTTGTAATTCCCTTGATAACATGCTCTTGACGTTGTGTGTGGTGTGATTGGTGTGTGTGTGCTGGGTGGTTATTTTCTTTTAATATTTATGCCGGATTCCAAGGTGACAATGAGAGAAAAGTGGTCGTCCCTTCAAATCTCTGCGAAAAGTTTCTGGCACAAGTATCGGAGAACACTGCTCGTGCTGTGGAAACCTGCGGCATCCTGTGCGGGAGAATGGTGAGGAAATGTCAGGGCCCCCGAGGTATCCGCGCCGACGCTCATCACGCCGTGTCGTGTGAGCCCCAGTTATCGTCGCTGTGTGTACTGTTGAAAGATGCTAATCAGTCACCTTATCACCGGTAACTTGTCTGTCTGAATGCAGTGCTGAACACATCTATTGTTAAACAACTGGGGAAATGGTAGGGGGTTTCTTTTTAATCGTTACGCTTGTTTATTCAGAAAAGACTCACTGGAGTCTAATGAGTTTTTTTTTAGAGGGTCCTGCCAACTTTTTGCAGCAGGGGGCGATGTTTGCAATGTAGATTCCAATTGAGTGATTATGCAGTAAGTTTTCGTACTTGACAAATTTTCCACACAGTGTCCTGCTCTTGCGAATTACATCACGGGATCTTTAATGTCTACTATAAAGCAGACGGCTTGTATTAACGGCGGTTATTACACCCGCAGTGATAATAATCGGGGCGGCCGCTGGATTCGAACCGTGAACCTGGCAATTTTGCATTGCTTGGTCATCGCATTCCAGTGCGGAGGCAGTGTTGTGCGGAGGGAGTGCTGTGTGGAGGGAGTGCTGTGTGGAGGGAGTGCTGTGTGGAGGCAGTGTTGTGTGGAGGGAGTGCTGTTTGGAGGGATTGCTGTGCGGTGGCGGTGCTGTGTGGAGGGAGTGCTGTGCGGAGGGAGTGCTGTGCGGAGGGAGTGCTGTGCGGAGGGAGTGCTGTGTGGAGGGAGTGCTGTGCGGAGGGAGTGCTGTGCGGAGGGAGTGCTGTGCGGAGGGAGTGCTGTGCGGAGGGAGTGTTGAGTGTTGTGCGGAGGGAGTGTTGTGCGGAGGGAGTGTTGTGTGGAGGGAGTGCTGTGTGGAGGGAGTGTTGTGTGGAGGGAGTGTTGAGCGGTTGGTACATGGCGCTGTGCATACTCCCTGCAGGTGCAAGGCGTGTTCACGGTGACGCACGTGATCCTGCCGAAGCAGAAGGGCTCCTCCGACTCGTGCCTGACGGAGAACGAGGAGGAGCTCTTTGAGATCCAGGATCGATACGACCTGCTCACGCTCGGCTGGATCCACGTGAGTCGTCCGTCGTTTGCTCGTCTCATCTTCTTCATTGCCTTGGCAATGCTGCCAGCTTCCAATGCCGTATCCCCCCCCCCCCCCCGGGTGTAGCCTACGCTCACGGTCATCATCGCCATCATCGCCATCATCATGTGCTCCAGTTCCCTCCCGTGCACATAAACACTCAATAATTGGCTGGTGACATCTTAATATATATAGAGGACTGCAGAACTCGGGCAATTGTTGGTTGCACCGGCTCAACGTGTGCCTGCTGCCTCCCAGCTCGTTTGTGGTCCCCCTCGTGCCTCCGAGTCGTTCTCTCTCTTCGAGAGCAAGCGGATACTGTGCGGCACCACGTGACAAGTTTAAATTCGTCTGCCCAACGCTGGATGAAAGCTTCCCCACGCTGTTGCCGTGTTTGTTGTAAGGAATTTGGTGAACCCGTGGGCTTGGAAAGCTTCGGTTATTCACTTGCGCTGTTTTTATCCGCGTTTTTTTCACAAGTGGGGTCATGTGCCAATTCATCCTATTATGTTATCTGCATGGTTATCCGTGGGGGTTATTATCAGGGAATGGAAATTATCGATACTGTTATCCGTGATTTTTTTAGGGAAAGAGGAAGTCGCGTTGCAAATGTATCCTGTTGTATGGGGTTATCTGCGATGTTTTACCCCACGGATCGGAGCAGTAAAATCGCGGATATGTACGTTGAACTTCTTCCGTACCGTACGTAGCCAACTGTGCTAATCATATCATGGAGGATTTATAGGGCTTGTGTATTTCACGTCCGTTTGTGCACAAGACCAGCGGTCGGATCTCGTTGATGGGTGGCGCTGCGATCGCTCCTTTTCTCAGACTCACCCGACACAGACGGCGTTCCTCTCCAGCGTGGACCTGCACACGCACTGCTCCTACCAGCTCATGCTGCCCGAAGCCATCGCAATCGTCTGTTCTCCCAAGCACGATGAGTGCGTCCCGCAGCCACACTCGCAACACCGGCACAATGTCGCTGCTTCGACGAGTTACGGCTGCAGAACATCGATGGAATGACACGGTTGTATAGCCGATGGATGAGCACGCTGCTAACCAAGACATGTTCCCATGGAGTTGGCGGTTCGATTCCCATACCCTTGGGTAACTTTCTGTGGAAAGTTACCAAGTCATATCTGGTGGAGCCGGGGGGTGTGGGGGGTTTGGTGGCACGTACCCCCCCAATGATCCGATCGAAATCCCTAATTTCGATCGAATCTTTGGGGTTTATTAAGAATAAATCAGCATTTTGCGACCCCCACTGCCACTGTGTAGCATATTATTACGTGCCAGGGACTCTTTGAGACGATAGGACAATCGTCTGAGTCCATAATTGGCAATAAGTAATGGCAAAGCAGTTATAAGTGACTCAGAATTGTGCGCAGTTGCGTATACAGTACACGACTTCCCTCAAGGCATCAACACCTTCAGCGAGCGCGATGGCGATCACACAACGCGGTTCGAATTCGACCCTCGATCGATGGCTGCGCCATCGCTGCACATGCATCGAATAAAAAGCAAGGGACAAGTCCTTTACTTACTAACAACTCCTTTATCATTTTTCATTAATGGAGGGGTTGCCCCCCCCCCCCCCCCCCCCACCTGAAAATCCTGGCTCCGCCATTGGTCATATCTAAGTGGACATCCTGCTCCGATGTGATTACATTTATTTTTCAGGCCTGGCGTAGAACCGTACATAAATGTGTCCGATGAAAGTTGATGGAATACTGGCCCATGATGCACCTGACTGGCAGTTGTATCACTGGGATATGTCAAGCGTGTTGGCAGGATTCCCAGGAGTGCATGAATAACTTGACAATATCATTGTAATATGCCGGTATACGTATGTGACCTGCCTTAAAGAGTAGTGTTGTCGTCTTACATGGCCTGCCTTAAAGAGTAGTGTTGTCGTTTTACATGTAACGTGTGCTTTGTTACTGTGGTACAAACGAATTGCACCACGCGAATAGATTAAGGCCTGTAGTGCCACATGTACATCCTGCCACTCACGCAGGGCCTTGTATCCGTTCTTGCTCGCGCTGTGTCGTGTAACGGGGCAGTAACTCGTGCTGCTGTGAATTGCAGCCCTAATGTGATACTCTGCGTGGGTTTTGGCAGAACGGGGTTCTTCAAGCTGACGGAGTGTGGCATGGAGGAGATCTCGATGTGCGTCCAAAAGGGCTTCCACCCGCACTCCAAGGAGCCTCCGCTGTTCCAGGTGCTGCTGCCACTCCCCGCCGTAACGCAGGCGGCAGAGCATTGCGCTTGCGTGTGTCGCGATTAGCTCCCGAGTTCGATTCTCATTCACGGCCAACATCGGTGATTTTTACGGATCATGTGTTGATTACAGATTGTGAATGACCAGATGATCTCTTTGCTTTGTCACGAAATTTACCATTCAGGGGTCACCAGCTCCTTCCAGAATTTATGTATGTGGTGACTGCAGTGCCTCAAGTGGCTGCAGAGGTCACATGAAGCCACTGCATGCAAGATCTTTCAGACCTTTTCCAATACATAGCCAGATAAAGGCCTTCCCATGACTGTTGTTTAACCATACTTCACCATGCTGGTCACTGCGTGTTGAAGGGGGTTGGGGAGCTAGTAACAGTTTAGATATTATTCACCACGGATGTTGTCCAGGAATTGAACGTTGGGTATACAGGTTCAGAGCCCAGTGCCACAAACCATTGTGTTGCAGCTTCAGATTGGTGCGGCACAATGCGTCGCATGTCGTGAGCGTAAGACTCTCCAAATGGACGTGCGCTTGTGTCGTGTGCACGCGTGCGGGCGAGGAGTGGAGTTGATGGTGTGTGCGCGCTATCCGCAGGTGTGCGACCATGTGCAGTTCAAGGCGGAGCTGTGGGCCACCATCATCGACCTCCGGTGACAGCCCCAGCAGGGGACCGATGGCCCGTTTTGATACCACGCCACTCGAGTGACTTAACACGCTTGGCCAGCCTAATATGGAACTTCGCTGTATCCGAGGCGGACGTTGTGCATAAAATGTACGTTACCGATGTAATACGTATGAAAACGTGAACGGTTTATTACACAAACTGCGCAGTTATCTTATTCCTGCAGTTATGTGCAGTGTATATGCAAAGCGCTTGAACTAATAGCTTACAGAACTTTTTTTTTAATATATGAAACCTTGTTCGTATGCTGCTGCTGCTTCTTTGGCATTACACCTGACATTTTGGTAGGAAAAAATAACTTATTGAGAGCTATGAATGTCGTAAACATTGGTTAAACTAGTTAGCTTGTAAATTAATCTTATCTCTTAAAGTGACATCTAAATATTACAGTGGGATTTTTTTTTTGTTAATGGACGCTTATTAACATTACCAACTTAATCCTTCCCATTCCCACTTGGTATGTCATTGGGTGTGTGATCACCTGTTGTGAGGACGCCTCAACCTTCCTAGAGCCAAACTTAAGACGGTCGTTTGTGAGCAAGGTCGAGTTAAAGCGTCGCCTTCCTGCCCCTTTAACAATGTGCCCCATCGTCACCCTGACCCTGTGTTCGCACTCACTCTGTCGGAAGAAGTCCTCCTGGCCTCAAGACTGTTGCGATCTCTCTCATGCCTTGTATTTTACTTCACCGCTGCCTCAGATGGTGCTGTATTGATCACAACATGCCTGACCCGTCATGAATATATTTCACACAGCCCTCTCTCGTGTCCGTGACGTTATTGGTTCACCATTCTTCCCGTTATTCGCCACCCCCCGAGGATTTGAAAATGGCTGGCATTGAAAGAACTTTTGACAAGACTTGAGAATTTATTCTGCAGTATGTTCATATTATTCTTGGTATGATGTTGGTAAGAATATACAAACAGCTGTCAACAACAAAAGCACCCCCAGCATGCTTTGCATGTTAAGATGACAATCATTCCTGCACATTCCACACAGCTTTGTGATGGCTACCAGCTCAATATATCATGAGTGGCATTTCACATTTAGACAGCAGAAGCACAAGGCAGGTGTGTACCAGTTTCATAATTATTAAGACTCATCAGTTCAGTTTAGCCATCATGGCCTACTGCTGCCACCTTGTGGATGAAGGAGGCGTGTGGAGCAGTCTTCCTTGCACTGCCTGAGGCCAAAAATCCAAATGACAACTTCCACCAGTTGGAAAGGCAACTCATCAGCCAGTCAGAAATGCATGCAAGTCTGAACCTCATCCCCTTTGGCATAAATAACAGAAGTAAACAATGGTGGTTATACTTACACTGACGAGTCCTAATAAGTAAGAAGTTGGTGTAGTTACGGTGTTCTGCTTAGACTCGTTTAAGTTTTTCTGTATATTGTGAATAAATGCTTACTGACCTAATAAGTCACTACTTTTGGAATGTAAAATTTGTATCAGGTCAAAACAGTTCTACACGTAGATAATGTACATACAAATAAATACGATTTTAAATTCAACCATAGCAATGACCAACTCCACCCAGTGGCCAAGAGAAACAGACCGCATGGGCTTGGAGTATTACATTAGCGATTTTTCACAGGAACGAGACGAACGCAATAAATTGTTGACAAGAAAGCCAGTGATTTCAAATGTGCGTTGAGGTGCTGCGCATCTCCTATTTATAGCCCTGAGCCACTGGTGGAAATTACACCTTCATATGGCTGGGCAAGTCCATAGGAAAACCACTTGTTAACTTCACCACAGTGGTCATTACTTAAACCACCAATGCAATCGGCATTATCTGTTGTATAACACAGGAGAAACGATCCACGTGGCTTGTAATTTTCAATAGACCTGCATTGTACAGTTAAACGGTATTCAAGTTTTTTCCAGTCGACTGCACATTATCGTCCTGTGTTAGTCATGCTGTCCAGTTGAGGTTTCTATGTTTGCAAGTGCCTGCAAGAAAGATCAGCCTTAATAAAGATGTTGAAGAACATGAAGAAAATGTATGAACTGCTGTATAATTACAAGTTTTATATATAAATAAACCCAGGAACTGGTTGAGCATTAGAGTAATTTAAATAATGAATCAGTATTCCTTGTAATACTTAATATTGCAGTGTGTGTAAAAAATTATTAACAAAGCTACTGCTTCACCACTTTAAAAAACATTGTCCCTTATCACGACCACTATGTCAAAACCCTTTGTCAGTGCACTGCAGGATGAAGGCCTTCCCATGCCATGTCACTCACAGGCAAAGTGTAATACTTCACCGCGCTGGTTGGCGAAGTGCGGCCCTGAACCGGAGCTCGTATCACTCGCCACAGATGTTAGCCGTGGCTGCGAATTAAACTCCAGGTTCATGCTGATCACTGCACTATTGTCACGCCAGTCGGCGTACCAGTGGAACGGGCTTGTTTTTAACACGTAAGCTTTCGCGACCAATATGGTTCAGAATTTATTTTTGGACGAGATTGCGTCGGTAAAATGTGCGCAATACACCCCCCACCCGACAGACAATAACATCATTGTGAACAAACATGCCAATGCATTTCTCCTTTAGCACACTGGTGTGTTATAGAGTAGCATCAAATCATCACAATTCTGGCAACTGCCTGATGATGCTGTTTTTAACATGTCCACACCCAGTTGCTAAATGTGTGGATCACTCTTCAACAAAAGACCGGTGGTGCTGCTGAAGCAGTAATAAACTTGCACATTTGCTCCCGTTACAACTTTATGAATTGGATGTGTCGGGTGGAGGAGGGTGTACGACAAAATCTACTCGCGCAATCTCACCCAAAAACCAATTGTGAATCGGGGCTCTAATTTTGACACCGAACGGCCCTGGGCTTTCACGAGTGGAGTGTGGACTCACGATTGCGCGGGACAGGATGTTGTTCTGCAGGGAGATTTCGGCTTGGTTGTGAATCTCTTTAGCCGTGGGCAGAGTTGGCTCCAGTCTGTGCCCAGCCTCTGCCAGGCCATCTACCCCCGGCTGCGATGGAATGCACAACAGGAAAAGGGATTGTGGGAACAAGAGGCAGAGGGTAATGGATGCTGCGTCACTGACAACTGAAGGTGATGGCTGCATATGCGGTTGTGAATCCAGGTGGGGATTGAGGGGGGGGGGGGCAGTGATTTCCTCCCACTTGAGGCCAAGAAAATTGGTATTATATGGATATATACAGAAGAAAATACGATGCTTTTTTTCTATTATTTACGTAGGGCAGTATTTAATAAACTTGAAGTTTTGGGATCGCCCAGCCTTAGACAGTTTATGGAACCACCTCTACTGCTAAAATACAGTATGTCCGGTACAATTTATAAACTGGAAATTAAACATTAAATACCATGACACTAACCTCACAGCAACACGTGCGATGGTTTCTGTGATGGGACACAATCGCACAGACATCAACACCTCGTACATTTCATACAACTCCACTAGACCCCCGTGATGCAGGCAGACAGTCACGTGGATCGGACTTACCATCCGATTATTATCAATAAAAACTCATCAATAAAAAATAAACTCTGCTCAAAATACAGCACACTGGTCCATATTTGAAGATACGTGCTCCTGTAAAGTGATTAATTGTAAAGTATATTTAATAGTAAATTTGATATTTGCACATTTATATTAAAAAAAGTTTGTAGTCTACCAGCTTTGGAGAGGAGCGTTTTGTTTCGGTTATCACGAAAACGCCGCACGCGCGCACAGATCATTTCACCGGGCACAGATTTGCATGTAATGAAGGACATGTACGGCACTTCTGACGTCACACGGTTCTCGCCAAACTCGAGGCCGAACGCCGCGACCCAATAGCGCACCTCCTCGGGCAGGCGGGCCTCCCGTCCGAGCATGAGGTAGAAGGGCGAGTATCGCGTGGCGCTGTGCTTGCTCGTGTGGTACTCAAACAGCCTCTGCTCCAGCTGCAGTTCCCAGTCGCGGTGCCGCCCGGTCGCTTTGCTCACGCAGTCCCTGAGTGCCTGGCTCGTGCCCCTGTGTGCCCCGTTGGCCCAGAGGTGCGATATCGCCAACCCGCTGCACATCGGGAAATGCCGGAACATCTCCTCATTTATCTGTAGGTTGCAGCGGAGGTACAACGATGTGATATGGTGCGTGCGACTCTCAACAGACTGCCTTCAGGTGAATAAGCGACCCGTGTCTTTACCTGTGCCACGTACTCTTCACTCACGTTGCAGAAGAGTTTTTTTGGGAAGCCAAACCTGCAAAGAGAGAGAGCTATCGTTATGAAAAGTACTGGAATAATCTAGTAATGCACGGGTATGTGGAATTTCTTAGGACTGTCGATGGACAGCCCAAGTCATTTTATAACGAGGCACGTTCACACTCTGCACGCACCTGTGGAACGCCGTGGTAAGTGCCGCAACCACATGGGCTGCCGATTGGTCAGTCATGGGCGTGAGCTCGGCCCACTTGGTGAAGTAGTCGACAATGAGCAGCACAAAGCGGTGAGCGCGGCTGGTGGCAGGGAAGGGGCCCAGCAGGTCCATGCCCAGCACCTCCCAGGGGTACGAGGCCTTGAGCAGCTTCACGTGCGAAATGGACGACCTCTTGTAGCTCTTCTGCTTGCAGATTTCACAGGCATTGATCTGTGAATTGTAATCATCGCATCACATAACGTCAACCTCCTGCCGGATGAAACTGCCGCCATACACGTTGCGATTTTGTGATGGAACAATCCGCCTAGACTCCTGTACATGGCTCCATCTCCACATGGGGGTGTACTGCCCAAGACTCTAAAAGGAGTGTGTTCTCTAATCCATGCGTTCCTTTTTCTGTCTCGGGTATGCGTCTTTGCAGCTTCTGTTCCATATTCTTTGTCAGAGTCGAGGTTCTCAATCCCTGTGTGGCATCACCAGGGACAATGCTTTCTCATTCTCAGCAGCTGAAACAACGCAACCATTTGACAGATAATACACTTGTCCCAACACTGACGAGCACCGGAACGTCAGTTGAATGGGTGAGTGCTGACTGCTGGTGAATTGAGTATTGGCGAGTGTTGATGGATGGCGAGAATCGTCACGAGTTATCGATCGCCGGTGTGTGTCGTCGATCGATGGCAGTCGGTAAAGTGTGGTGTTGGGTGAGAGTTACGAGTGAACGGAGTGTGCAGACACGATGGAGGTTCTCCGCTGCCCCGGAAGTGCTTATCTGGCTTGATCACCTGAACGTGAAATAGCAGTTGTTTGTTCAGCATCTACATCGGCCGTACAAAAGAGAGGAGACGGATGTTCTCACGTAGTCTCGAATGTCGTTAACCATCCCTTTCCAGTAGTAGTGCTCCTCCAGGAGCTTCCGGGTCCTCGTCTGTCCACAGTGATCGGCCCCGTGCACTCGCTGCAGGATGCTTCGTTTGTCCTCCTCGTTCATGACAACCAAACGCTTCCGGCCACTCTTCTGTCCAGTGTAATAGAGCTTCTTTTCTGCCAGGGAAAAAGAAAATGTGTGAGGGTTAAATGTCTCTCTAACCTCTCATTGCATGCAGGGTACGTTATTTTTTTTTATCAGATTAAATGTGTTTAGCATTGAGGGTCAAGGAATCGCCGTGGCTTAAGCTGCCGATGCCACCACATCTTGCCACTGGCTTCCTTCTGCCAGGTGTGTTGCACAGTTGACACCCAGAAGTGATTGGGCAGAAATGTATTTCAGAACCCAGTCCAGGGATTTGGTTCTGCAGAGAAAAGGTCACGAGGGTGTGAGTGCCTGCAACAATAGTCCAGAAAAACTAACATGTCAACAGTTCTTGATTGCCATACTGGAGCACTCACTGGCCAGAGGTCCACACTCGACAAAGACTCAAGTTGGTTTGTGCACTTCCTAAACTTTGACACGAGACTGGCAAAGAGTGCGAACAGCCTTGGGAGTTGTCATTTATCCCGAACTGTCATTCTCTCGCCACATATCTCAACTCTGCTGGAGCTCGCACCTCCAGCTGTGTAACATATCCTACAGTCGCCACTTCCTTACCCCCCAGCTCGCTGCTGATGAGACCCTCGACCGTGCCAATCATCACATCCCGACTCAACAACTGCTACTCTCTCTTCTACGGCCACTTGAAAAATTCCAGGCGATGCAAAATATCGACGCTAGAAATGTCACCCGAACCTGTAAACACGACCACATCACCCTACTACTCCCATATCTCCACTGACTCCTAATCCAATCCTGAACCAACTTCCAAGATAGCACTTAGCATCTTCAAGATCCTCCATGGACCGTGCTCCTGCCCGTCTCTCCCCCTGTCATCTCACTAAACTCTCCTCTGCACAACTCGGCTCCAGCAACCACATGCGTTCTTTGCACAGGGTCCGGAGACACGACTACGCTAGTGCGACCCAGGGCCCCACCACAGTCGCGGCATCGCCAACACGACGAATGTTGGGGGCG